GGGGGGGGGGGGGGGGGGGGGTACATGTGACAGAGATTGGTTAGCCCGCGGTTTCCGGATGTGTGATCACACACGACTCCTGAGGTTGCCAAAGCGTGTTCTGGATTGCGAGCGAAGACGCTTGCCACTCAGCACATCTGAGCAATAAGGGAGGGTCGCGGGCGCTGTGCTGTGCCTGGTACATCAACCGGATCGCGAAGAGAAAGGAGGGATACCACCGAGATAACTCGNCAATAAGGGAGGGTCGTGGGCGCTGTGCTGTGCCTGGTACATCGACCGGATCGCGAAGAGAAAGGAGGGATACCACCCAGAGAACTCATCATGATGGATGTGCCGCACATGGAGGAGGTGATCCGCAGCAGCTTCGAAGCCATCAAGGGCAAGGGGTAAGTGGACCTAAGCCTGTAGACCAAAACAAGGGTGGATCGCAGGGCTTTTGTATGTTGGGTAGACTTGTGGCGGTGTAGACTACTTCGCCAGTGAGTGATCAGCCGCTCCATTGGTTGTGACATGAATTTCACTTGGTCCTGCAGCAGCAGACGTCGGTACGCGGCTGGTATCTCGGTGTCTTGCTTTGGACTTTGCGAATTCCATCGGCAACCCCAAGCTGGATCTTCTTAAATGTAAACAAGCTGAGGGCGCTTCAGTCCACGGAGGGATCCCGCATCCCAGACTTCTGCCGTGGACAAGCAAGTGCCCAAATTGTCAAAGATCGGGCTCTGTGGCCACTTTTTTTTTTTCCACGTCCGTGCTGCGTTTGAACCGAAACGAACCAACCGTCACCACGCTGCGGGGGAAAGACAGACGCACAGACGGCAGCTGCCGATGTCACACAGCAGTGATAGCGCCAATCCTGTCAATTGTTTGTGTCATTCTCGTGCAGGTTGGGACCGTGTTGTTGCTGAAACTGCTGTTCCAGGCTCGGCCTAATTGTTGTAGCCCATGGACTGCTGCATGCTGCTGTAGACTACAGCATTTGTGTGCGCGGGCGTTTCGCGTCATATCATCGCCATGCGCAGCTTCACCCGCTGGCTAATATCTGTACCGCCTCCTGTTCGGCCGTTTTCGTGACAAGCAAACCACTTGCTCGGTCCCCACACAAAAATACTCTACGACAGCAGAGTAGATGCCAAATTTGCTGCGTACGCTTCTGTCGCCGCCGTGTGTGCACTGCTGCTGTTCAACAGGCCAAACGACCGCAGTCTACCCCTGAGCTTCATCCTCCGCGTTGTGGGGCTCTGGCTGGTGGACATGACGGTGTTTCCCTCCTACTTGTCTGTTCTTCTCGAAATCCTGTCGACAAGCTCCGGCCTGGGCCACAGCACCGTGACGACAGGATTTCGTGAGTGGATCGCGGACAGGACGGCGCGGCCGCACCGCAAAAGGCTCGTGATAGGCGCCGGCGTTTTCACGGAAACGGCGGCGGTCTTGATGGCGAGAGCTAGGGTCGCCAAGCTCGCGGTGGGGGCGGAGCTTGCGCGGTACCTTCGCGCCAAGGTTCTTGTGGCGAGAGGCGATGATGTCGCGGCACCGTGTGCGGCATCCATGACGCCCGAGACTGCAGGCCTGGGGGTTGTGTTGGCCTCCGTCTGCGAGACCATGGAGGCTAGGAATGCGGCGGAGGCGGGGTCGGGGACGGAGGAGGCCGCAGGGGCGGGGGCAGCAGCGGTGGGAGAGGACTCTTGCCGCAGCTGTGGCTCCCCAGCTGTCCCTGACAGCGAGGGAGTAGGCACCGAGGCATCCCCGGGCGTGGCAGCATCAGGTTGTCGTGAGGAGGGAGAAGAGCAGAAGCGGAAAGGGGGAGGGGAGAGAAAGAAGAAAGGGGCGTACGGAGAGGAGGTGGGGGGCTGGAAAGAGGAGAACGAGCAGGGGCGGGAGCAGGACAGGGGGGTCGAGAAGAGAGTGTCGGCCCCAGCTTTCGACGACCCGGTGGAAGGAGAGGTTACCCAAGAGTCCGTCCTCGTCGTGAAGAGCCACGTGCAGGATCGGGAAGTCAGAGGGCGTTGCAGAGGCGGTGATGAGGGAAGCGAGGACAAGGTTGCTCTGGTGAGTGCATGGATATAGTCTAAACTCCAAGAACAAGTATGTACATTGTCTGAGAACTAGCAGACAATAAAAACGCGCAGAACTCACTCGAATCCTTTAACGGCAGATAGACTAGGTGTGATACCAAGAAAAATCGGAGGAGTCGGGAGATCCGAAGTTGACAAATTTTGGAACCAAATCGGGAAACTTCTCTCCTGTGGTCGGTTTTTTGTAAACCGTCTGCAGTATTTAGTAGTCCGTTGAGTGGTATGTCTTTGGGCAAATGACACAATGGGGTATACCCGCGTGTTCGGGCACAAAATGGGGCATGATTTTTTTCGGTGCGGGGCGCAACGCCTGACGACGAGTAGGCACCTTCTAGCGCTTCAACCCCATGCGCCAGGTCCTTGCAAAGGACGCCAAACTTTTCTTCTTGCTTTTCACCCACAGGAACAGGGTTAACTAGGGCCTGGACGAGGGGAGCTTGTCGGAGGACCCCATTTTGTTCACGAAATCGCGGGGTACACCCCCCTGTCTGCTAAAAGCCCATCTAGTACCCCAAGTTGTTCACAAACGTACCCCATAGACCACTGTTCAAGGCATACCCCTTTGTGTTCAGTCGTGATGCTCCTGCGGACTGTCAAAATGGCAACCAACAACACGCGCAGACTACCGTAGGTGTGGCGACAGAAGATGTTGGGGTATGTATGGTGGCCTGCGGTGCAACACGCAGGTTTCGCGGTCTGCGGCGCGGCAAGAAGACAGAAGATGTTGGGGTTTGTTGGTGGTCTGCGGTTCAACATTCAGACTTTGTTGTGGTCTGCGGCGAGGCAACGAGACAGAAGATACAGAGATATGGTGGTCTGCGGGTGGTTGGTTGTTGGTTGCCATTTTGGCAGTCCGCAGGAGCGTCTCGACTGAACAAAAAGGGGTATGCCTTGAACAGCATGGGGCACGATTGTGAACAACTTGGGGTACTTGATGGACTTCTAGCAGACAGGAGGGTGTACCCCGCGATTTCGTGATCAAAATGGGGTCCTCCGACAAGCTCCCCTCTTCCAGGCCCTAGTTTACCCTGATCCTGTGGGTGATAAGCAAAAAGACAAGTTGGGCGTCCTTCGGAAGGATCTGGCGCGCATGGGGTTGGAGCGCTAGAGGGCGGTTGAAAGGCGCCTACCCGGCGTCAGGCGTTGGGCCCCGCACCGAAAAAAAATATACCCCATTTTGTGCCAAACACGCGGGTTATACCCCATTTTGTCAATTGCTCTACCTCTTTCATCGAATACTTTCGTTTCTCATCTGGCCATAATCGACCAGAACCCGATCTCGACGGCGCCTAGAAATATTGTAACCTCACACCGCTGAATTTAGAAGTAGGAACTTCGAATTACTATCCATCCAAGTTACTCGTGTCCGACTACCATTGGTATCCTGCACTCGACGTTCACGGGACGAAAAACGGCCTGAACCACGAACTGAATGGCCGGCAAGGTCTGAACAACCTAACCCAGCGCGAGGGGGGGGGGCGGGGGGAGACAAATAACCTGAGGGAGAAAGTACGAAACCAACTCATTTTGTGTGAACAACATTTGGACCCGTGCGCCCAGAATTGGTAAAGAGCGAGTGATTTATTGTATGGGTACAAGTAAAATGCCGACTCAGTCAGGAGGCCTCGCAACATTCAACACTTCCATGAATTGATCCGGACCCAGAAACCGGCGAATGCGCCCTCGATGGAATTGTGGAACGTCCCTCAGGGAGTCGCGCTTGTGCATTGCCTCTCTTGGCGGCAAACCTCGATCGTGCGCAGTCCCGGGTTTAGATTGAGTGAAAATTGTAGTCTGAAGAAAACGTTGAGAGCGCGCGTGCCACGTGCTGCAATATCCCATTTTTGTTGCGTTGAAACATCTTCCCATGCAACTTTCACAATGGTCCCCTAGAATTGCCATGTTAGGAACGCATCGGACGCCGGTGGGAATGACCGTGTTTACCTCGAATCGCAGTTCGCTCTTCTCAGGTTTGAGCTAATCGTCTGGCAGGAATCACTGGCAGACTGACCAGGACATTGTTCTTGATTAGTCTTCTCTCTCACGCGTTCCGGTTTCTCACCCTGTCAACCTGTTTCGGTTAAATTTAACCCTCGATTCCCCTGTATGTGCTTAAACGTCGCTCACCCTGTCTAGATCCTGACACGGCTCGGGCAGCTGCAGCACATGGTGATCGACGGCTTTGCCTCTCTGAAGACTGACCAGGTAATAGCGGTGACGGGAAACAACTTGCTCCACCTTGCATCACCAGGATTAACAAAAACAGCAATGGTTCTTAGCCGGCCCGCGAGCGTTGAGTTTCTTCTGCGGCCTCTGGTCTGTTGTGTGCCGCTGGCAGAACCACTCTGACCTGCCTGTGGTCTCCATCGCTGTCAAGTGAGATGCGCAGAATCTCCACTGGGAGTGGTTGCACGAAGCCTCACGATTTCGCACCATCTCAACTCGTTCGCAGATAATTCACGGGACTATCGCTTTTGTTTGGTTGTGTGCTTTTCGTTTCCCCTCTCCCCTTTCCTTGCCCCCTAATGCCAGGAAGTGTAGCCTGGTGTGCTAGACCCCCTCGGTCATGGTGGTCGACGGCTTTGCCTCTCTGAAGACTGACCAGGTAATAGCGGTGACGGGAAACAATTTGCTCCACCTTGCATCACCAGGATTAACAAAAACAGCAATGATTCTTAGCCGGGCCCGCGAGCGTTGAGTTTCATCTGCGGCCTCCGGTCTGTTGTGTGCCGCTGGCAGAACCACTCTGACCTGCCTGTGGTCTCCATCGCTGTCAAGTGAGATGCGCAGAATCTCCACTGGGAGTGGTTGCACGAAGCCTCACGATTTCGCACCATCTCAACTCGTTCGCAGATGATTCACGGGACTATCGCTTTTGTTTGGTTGTGTGCTTTTCTTTTCCCCTCTCCCCTTTCCTTGCCCCCTAATGCCAGGAAGTGTAGCCTGGTGTGCTAGACCCCCTCGGGGTTCGGCTCGGGCGCCTCCTCACGTGTTCCATACGGTGCCTTGCCCATTCTAGGCAGCAGTTGTTCCAGGGTGTGACGGTACAGACTGCTCGTTGTTTTGGTCTAACATCTTCGCCTTGACTCCCCATGTGCGCCTCGTATGATACTCCACTCTTGTGGTAAAACGTGCGATACTTCCCGTTTGACGTCGCGGCGCGCGGGCAAACGATTATTTTTTGCACCGCGGCAGGACAAGCTTGTGGCTGGCCAGCGAAGCCTCGAGGACGAGCTCGGCAGACTGCGCTCCCGCCTGGATTACCCCGTATCCGCCACCATGGCAAGGGGTGGCGTGAAGGGGCATATCGGCGAGCGGTCTGGTGTGGCGACAAAGAGAAAGACCTCGACTTCAGCAGCAGCAGTTGGATTAGCGATGGATTCCACCGCCGAAGTGGTTGCTAGTTGGAAAACGAGGGCGAACGACCGGGGATCAGGTCAATATCCCAGGGGCTCCTCGCGTTGGCCGATCGGTTGGATCGGACGTCTTCACTCCTGGGCTCATTGGCGGGGGGAGCAGGGGAGACCCGGAGTGTGCCGAGCAGCCGTGGGGTCACCGTCGGCTCGGGCGTTCTCGACGTGTCGCTGGCACCCCAGGACGCGACGGAGACGTTGGCATCGCTGACCAACGAGGCCGAACAGCCTCCAGCATCCGGGCAGATCCTCGCGGTGGCCGATCGGCTGTGGAAGGTCCACGCTGCCCTGGGGGGAGCAGCGGGGGACGCAGGAGAGACGTCGAGAGCTCGGAGCGTCGTTGAGGTCACCGTCGGCTCGGGGGATCTCGTCGTGTCACTTTCTCCCGGGGAGGCGACGGAGGCTGTGACTAGGGACGCCCCCAAGGGCGTTGAGGGGAGGGATGACGGGGGGCCCGCAGTGGAGGTGACCCATCAGGTGCCTGGCGAGACCCCGGTGGTCGAGGCGACAGTGGCATCGGGAGGGCTCGTGCTGGAAGTCGACGGAGCTCAGCTGGAGATGGTCGAGGAGATCACGGGCGAGACCGCGGGAAGTTCGAGGGAAACGGTGACAGATGAAGGAGAAAGAGTGGCGAGGCCGCCGGTGGCATGGGCGGAGACTGCGGAGAGGGCCGAAAACCCGATTGCAGCAGCCGACAAGGCGGAGGAGGGGAGCATCATACCGGCAGTGGAGAGCGGGGTGGCAGCGGTCGAGACGGTGGCAGTTACACCAGGAACGTTGACGATCAAGACGAGGGAGGTATACATCGCTGGGCAACGAGCGAGTGCTCCGGATGAGTTCGAACAATATCGTAGAGCGTGCTGCTGGATGCGATATTCAACCATGGTTGCTGTACTGTATCACGTACCGCGCATGACGTGCGCTGTCTGAGCGAGGTTTTTAGTCATCTGGGGAGATGTTGCATGTCCAAGGCCGGTCTCAGAAGTGGTGNGTCATTTTCCCCATGTAGGGTTCAAGGGTGGCTTGCATAACAGAAGGTCTCACTCGCACATCGGGATGTCCGTCTCTTCCTTGATTTTTATGACATATAAACATAAAAATCTCCTCCTCGTAGACGCCAGAGAGCACTATCTTCCCTGATGGCGGTCTAAGTGGACCCAGGGTTGATAAATGAGTTGCGGTCATCAACGTTTGTACGGTACACCATGGGTAGCTACCCCACTAACGCTCCCGAGTAGACCTTCGCTGCCGAAAGCTTGACCAACAATCCCCCCACACTTTGTGCCGGCGTCTATCCTTCAAGCTTCAAGATATCTACGTACCGCTTGGTGCTCCTTCATTTGGTCGGTCATTTGAAAACAAGGTTCTTGAGTATGTTAGGTCTGACATTTTGTCTTGCAGTATCCACCCCTCTCCTTGCGGAGGTTTCAGGATAGTGTCTGACCAGATTCCCACCGCCCCATGGGAACCGGTAATATTTTACGGTTATCTCACCACGAGTCCCCAACCTTCATGTGCATCGCACAGTTGACCAAAAGGATTGCTGTGTCGATATTTGTACTTTGTTTCCGTTTTCGTGTTGGTGGGTAAGGTGGCCAAAAACCTTCTACTCTTGCTTACTTTTGCGTTTTCAACTGTGAACAGAAAATAAAAAAGGTAAGCGTCTGAAAATGTATTTCGTTGAATTCAGTTATTTCATATCTGGCTTGTCATGGTTGTGTTACTTTATGGCAAAATAAAAGGTCGGTAAGTTCAGCTCTTTCATGTCTGGCTTGGCGGGTTTGTGTTACGGTATGGGAAAAATAAACAGTCGGTTAGTTCAGTTTTTCCATGTCTGGCTCGTCAGGTTTGTGTTACGGTATGGGAAATAAAAAGTCGGTTAGTTCAGTTTTTCCATGTCTAGCTTGTCAGGTTTATGGTACGGTATGGGAAAATAAAAGGTCGGTTGGTTCAGCTCTTTCATGTCTGGCTTGGCGGGTTTGTGTTTCGGTATAGGAAAATAAAAAGTTGGTTGGTTCAGTTATTTCATGTCCAGGGTCTGGTGGCTTGTTGTACAGCGTCGGTGCCATGCGACGCCAACCTATTCGAATTTTGCGAACAGGTGGGTCGCAGGGGGGGGGGAACCCCGACGTTTACGGTAGGGTTAGGATCTCGTGCTCAGACAACGGCCATGTACTCGCAATGTCCGATGATCGTCCGCTGCCTTGATTTCGCATCAACGTATTGACTTCGGTCGACACCGCTGTCCCCGCCGCTGCTGCCGTCGCCACCCCCGTTTCCATCGATGACGAAACCCTGTTCCCAGCAGCGTGGTGGGGAAC